GACCTGATCAGTGTTTGATTGTTGTGTCTTGTTGCTTTTCTTCTTTTGTCTCTCCTCTATCCACTCACCCCAACCGGTCGAGGCAGAAGGCCGCCCACCAAGAGCCAGGGTCTGTCGGAGGTTTCTTCCGTTAAAGGGAGTTTTTCCTCCCCACTGTCGCCAAGTGCTTGCTCAAGGGGGATTTGTTGGGTTTTCCCTATGTAATAATATTGATAACAGTAAGGTCTAGACCTTACTTTGTAAAGTGTCCTGAGATGACTTTTGTTGTGATTTGGCGCTATACAAATAAAATTTGATTTGATTTGATTTGATTAACCTTGCTGTTCATGTGATACAGGTACCCAGGCACGCTGGCCCTCCTTACCCTGCTCATGACATCACAAAGGGACACCCTAACTTGGCGGGTACTCCGCCCAGTCATGCCCACTCCCCAGCACTCTCTCAGGTATCAGTACCCACAGCTTCCCCATATCGCTACTCTAAGGGCTGGGAGGCAGGCGGAGGGGTGAGTTTGTTATTGTGTCCGCCGTCATCCTCTCTTCCTATTCATGTCTGGTCTGTCCATTTCTATGCATGCTTTTTATGACCTGTATGCTAGGGCTTAATGCTATAATTGATCATTTCCCAGTATAATCAGATCATGACAGAATTTCACACAGGAAGTTTATGATTTATGTGCCTAACAAGTTTGAATTTTACCAGAATTTCTTAAGCATAAGTTAAACTTTTTAAATTAGATTTGAATGCTTATACAGTAAGATAAATGTATGCATTATGTTATTTTTAGGTTTGTGTTCTTCCTGTTTCAATACTTTTCCTAATACACCATTATGCCATGTATTGTGATTGTATGCTTAAAACTGGGTCATATTCTACTGCAATTTTTGTGCACTACAGCCTATAGACAAACATGTATCTATGTATGGTGTGCCTGTTTAAATCCTGATAAGGGTCAAGAGACAAACAGTGTAGCCAATATGTATATGGACAAACACATTCACATTTCTGTGACCTGAAGGCCTTAAGACCACCTGGAGTAAACCCACAATAGAACATGGGTTGTGGTGCTAAACACCAGAATTTACTAATGTTTTTATTCATTTGTGATTAAATGATGACAGATAATGTGAGGTACTTTTTTATTCATATCTATTTTTCAAATGAATTATGACTGGCCTTTAATTCTTTATACAGTTATAAGCCCCCTGTCACAGTGTGTTTCCGGTTTATTTGCTACTTTGTACAGCTGCAAAGGGTTGTGGCATTGTGGGATTCCTATGGGATGACAAATACTACATTGCATCAGTGGTATTGGTAAAAATCATAACATGTGCCACAGCTATTTTACCATGAGACGTATGATCATTTGCTCAACCTAAAGTCAAGTCAAGTGAAAGTGTTTATTGTCATATGCACAGTACGGAAACGTGTTTCCCTGTACAATGAAATTCTTACTTTCCCGTCCACATGAATGCCACAAAATACAAATTATAAAGTATAAAGTAGATAAATAACACAAAATCTAAGGCACTTTAAAGAGCAAATGAAGAGATATAATAAAATATATTAGAATATAATGAGAATGTATGCTACATGGGAGGTGTATGTGCAGTAGTCAACAGTGGATGTGCAAACTGAGAATGTAAACTGTACAGGTCATCAGTATGTCATTACATGACGTATTTCCTGGTAATAAACTCCGGTCAGCTGTTTAGGAGTCTGATGGCAGAGGGAAAGAAAGGTTTTCAGTCTAGAGGTGCTGCATTGCACACTTCTGAACCTCCGGCCAGAGGGTAGGGAGGCGAACAGTCTGTGCTGGGGGTGGGTGGGGTCCTTGAGGATGGAGGCAGCGTTCCTACGCACCCTGCGGTGGTAAATGCTCTGCAGAAAGGGCAGTGAGCTCCTAGTGATCTTCTCCACAGTCTTTACCACTCTCTGTAGGCACTTAGTGCTGCCATACCAGACAGTGATGCAGCTGGTCAAGATGCTCTCAATGATGCTGCTGTAGAAGTTGCTGAGGATCCTAGGCGGCATGTCAAACCTCCTCAGCCTCCTCAGGAAATATAGCTGTCGTTGGGCCTTCTTGACTAGCTGTGTGGTGTTGAGTGTCCAAGTGAGGTCCTCACTGATGTGGACGCCCAGGTATTTGAAGCTGCTCACCCTCTCCACTTTGAGCCCCCGGATGAACAATGGCTGATGAGTTCTCCTCTCCTTCCTGATGTCCACTATAATCTCCTTCGTCTTGTCCATGTTGAGGCTGAGATTATTGTCCTTGCACCATGACACCAGACCGGCCACCTCCCTCCTGTAGGCTGCTTCATCCACGCCAGTGTTTCAATTCAACCTATCACTGCAGTGTCATCCACGAACTTTAGGATGATGTTGTCTTCGTGGGAGGCGACACAGTCATGGATGAACAGGGTGTAGAGGATGGCTTCAGGATGATGTTGTCTTTGTGGGAGGCGACACAGTCGTGGGTGAACAGGGTGTAGAGGGATGGGACTGAGGACACATCCCTGTGGGGTGCCAGTGTTTGCAGTGAAGCTGGCTGAAGTCCTTTTGCCAATCCTGACAGACTGGGGCCTGCCAGTCTCATTGGGCCGGTGGGCATACTGCAGGGAGTCCAGGGTGTTCGGTATACTGCTCTAGATGTGGACTAGCATCACTCTCTCAAAACATTTCACAATGATTGTGGTGAGTGCCACTGGCCTGTAGTCGTTCAGGCAGGTGACTGGGCTCTTCTTGGGAAGGGGGATGATGGTTGTGGTCTTAAAGCAGGTGGGAACGATGCTCCGGCTGAGGGAAAGGTTGAAGATGGAGGTGAGAACATCGGCCAGTTCGTTGGCACATGCTCTGAGCGTCCTCCCGGGGATGTTGTCTGGTCCTGCTGCCTTACGGGGGCTGATCTTCCTCAGCCTGATGAGACAGTTAGTGGAGGGGAGGTGGGGGGTTGGGTGGTCTCAGTGCGTGTGTGCCTTCTCTCTGTGCTGTGGTTGGAGGTCTCAAAGCACGTGTAGAAGGTGTTGAGGTCATCCGGCAGGCTGTCTGTGAAGCTGATGATGCTGGTGGTGGTCCTATAGTCTGTGATGTGCTGCAGGCCTTGCCACATCCGCCCGGAGTCAGCAGTAGAATAGAAGCCATTCAGCTTCTCTCTGTACTGCCTCTTGGCCGCTGTGATGGCTTT